CGGGTTGAGTGCTGGGCTTTTTTTTTCTTTTTTTTTTTTTTTGAAAAAGAAGTGGGAGCTGGGGCTGGGCAGGGCAGCTATCAATGGGGCTGGGGGAGCAGGAGGGGGATAGGGGCTCATGACAGAGCCCCCATGCAGCATGGGGCAGTGAGGGGCAGCAGGGTTTGCCCCCCCACCTGGCAGCAGCCGGTGAGTGCAGGGTTTTGTATTTTTTTTTTAAAGAACCATGAGCTGGGGCTGGGCAGGGCAGCCATTGACATTGCTGGGACAGTGGGCAGGTCAGGGGGTGCTCAGGGGGTTGGGAGAGCAGGCAGGGGATGGGACCTGGTAGGGGTCCCCCATGGCCCCCTCTCCTTCCTCCAGCCCCCACCCCGCCCCCTACGTACCAGCACAGAGTCCGGGTCCAGCTCTCTGCAGAGGTGAGCGGGGACGCCCCAAATCTCCAAAGCTCTCCAAATTTTTTCCGAATCAATTCAGAGAGCTTTGAATAGATTCGGACCTTTTCATTGGTCTCCTGATTTGATTCGGATTTGGAGATTCAGTTGCCAAATCTTCTCCGAATCGAATCAGCACCCGAAGCTTTGCACAGCCCTACTTATTACACATTTAGCATTGCTCTTAGAACTTGAACTAAAACAATTCTAGCAACTGATGCCATTTCTCAGGAAAGCTTCTGCTCAAAACATCAGATTTAGTAATAAAACCAAAACCAAGCAACTACAAGGTTCCAGACACAGGGATGTTTGTGGGAAGGTGAAAAATGTATTGCAACCCATGCCCTAAGCTTGTCTGTTTTCACACTGTACTCGCCATTCAGTCACCATAGTAAACATGCATCAGCTGAGAAGGCAGAATTGAAAGACCATGCAAAATTCATTCATTGCCCTCTAATCTTTACATTTGGTGTCTTTAAATTAACTTGAGGGGCACTGGTAGAGACTGTCACTTTCACTGCCACTCTACTCTGACACAATCGTTTGATGGATAAATTAGGCATCTCGCTCTTCAGCACCACTAAGCCACTATCTTTTACAAGTATTATATTTGCTTTAAAAAGGGAAAGAACAAACTGATAATGCAGGCAATCCCTCCTGCTGCTGCTCTTTCATTTAAAATTCACATGTAAATTAGGAATATAATGTTTGTGTTATACTCAAATTAATAAAAATATTATTTCTGCTACTGTGATTAATTTACAGATTTACATTACAGTATAACAGAAATAGATTATAGTCTATATCTTTTGAAATTATCATGTTTTGAAAAATTAAATACTCACTCAGCAAAGTAGTCATCTGCCAAAACATCAGCATTTTGACGAATAATACCTGCATAATAATGGTATACTGGCAACATTTTCTTTATCAGATATTTCTTAAAAAAAGATAAAGATAAATTCATTTATATGCACAATACTTTGCTATATTTCTCTCTTATTTATTCAAATTGATTTTTAAATTAAGTCATTACAGAACTCTGAGTGAATTACAACATTTAAATAATAAAACACAAACTGAAGTCAAAGTCCAAATGATAAAATTCTCCCAGAATCACTCAAACTGGAAAACCTTCAAATCAGGCCACTCATCCCTGGGAGTGATAAACTGGCATTTAACAGGGAGCTATACTAGTTCATACTCTCAAAGAGCAATAAAACAGGCAAATTAAAGAGATGAGGACTTCCAAAAATAGCATGGTCCCTCCACCTTTTTCTCCCACAGATTTATCTTTAAACGAGTTAGTACCATTGGCCACAGCCACACGAATGTGGACCTTTGGTTCCCTGGGAACAACTAACAGCAGGATACCTTGTGCTGCTGCTAGCTGTCCCCAAGGAACACCTGTGCCATGCACCTTTTGATGTGTGGCAGGTTACACCGGGTCGGGTAGGGGAGGCTGGGCCAGCACTGGGCTGGTCCCAGCAGCCTTATCTGGGGTCCTGGAGGCCTCCTGGGACTGCAGCAGTGGCAATCCTGCAGTTTGGAGCCTGTCTGGCAGCCAGAGCATGGCTCAGGGCGGCCAGGCTCCACTTTTGAGCAGCACGCTCTGCCCTTGTGTGTACCACTCCGCTTATTTTTTGCGTTTTTTTGACCCCTGGATATCCAGGGGTCAACCCCCACCGTGCTGCTCCCCTGCAGTGCAGAGAATACCTGAATGTGCATTATGTGGTGCTGCAGAGGTGTCTGCAGTGCCACATACCTCACATCCACATGCATCTGGACGGGGCCATTGAAATTAATGCGATTAGTAATATGCTTTAAGCACTCATTTAAGTGTTTTGCTGAACTGGAGTCTAAATAAATACACGATTAGCTTAAATACCTCAACTGATCAGTTTTGCAAAGGAAGGCAGGCCACCAAAGGTCTTTAGTACCTAAACATTTTAGGATGACAAGTTAAAACCAACTCTTTAATTGTACCCCAAAATGAACTGGAAGCCAGTACAGATCAGGGACCACAAATACATATTCTCTGAGAGAAGTACTGATTGCTAGGTACATAAAGAGTGCATTCAAATGAACGCGGTCATGCTGTATGTAGCACTGCAAACATGTTTGCAGTGCCACACAGCTCACAGTCTGGTGTTCTCCGTGTTGCACTGCCTGAGCATGAGCTGAGACGGGGTTTTTTTCCCCACAGGTTTTTTGACCCCCGGACATCCAGGGGTCAAAAAAAACCCAAGGAAAAAAACAACGGAGCAATGCACTCTTAGCCAGCATGTGCTGCTGAAAAGTGGAACTGGCCCTCCCAGAGCTGTACTCCACTGCCAGCAGAATCACCACAGCTTTGCGCAGCAGAATCACCACGGCTGCAGCCCTGGGGGGCCCCCAGGTAAGGCTCCTGGGACCAGCCCAGTGCTGGCCCCAGCCTCCCCTACCCAACCTGGGGCAACTTGCCACGCCAGAGCACGCATCGCACGGGCATTCCCCAGAGACAAGAAGTGGCACTGCAAGGTGCGCTGCCACTACTTGTCCCCGGGGAACCAAATGTCCACGCACGTCTGGATGCACCCAAAGACTATCATCCTATACCACTGGTACTTGGAGTTTCCAGATAGACTTAAAACTATTTTGTAAAAAACCTAAGCAAGTGAATATATTTGTATTTTATTATAAAATGACACTCATGACCCAACTAGAGTTCAGTATTTGTCACTGACTTATTAACAGAACAAATTAAATACTTAGTTTCCATTTCTTAAGGAAGGGATGAATAAAATTTCTCTTAAAGGAATTGAGGGCATATTTATATGGTGACAGTAGTCTGTTCTAGCCAAGATGAATCTGAGCATACCCCACTCTCCTGCTCTCACATGCATGCCCCAAACCAGAAAGTATACCAGGAGGGCAACTTCAGTGTCATCTCCAGGGGCCACTCTCAAGCACACTCAAGAGTACTTGTCATTTAAATAGTAGATTTTTTAGTATTTAACAAAAAATGTTGATACCTTTAAAAGTGGATATATTTCATAGTCTTTCAGAGTACATTCCAGATCATTAGGCATTAGATTTGACAGTATTATATACCACACAAAGATATCATTTTCTTTGGCAAGGTACTTTGTCAGGTCAAGTGCAGACTCAATCTCAAGATAGCCAGACCTGTTTTTGAAAGAAAAAAAATACACACACACACACACACACACACACACACACATATATATGTGTATATATATATATATTGCATCTATTTGAGCATATTTATTCAAGTGTGGATGTATGAATATACAGCATGAAGACCTATATATTTAAACAACTGATGGGAAAAGAATCCAGATACTGGAGTAGGCTTTGGGAGAGGAGGGAAAAAGAAATAGCACAACAGAGACCATCTAAGAGTCTGAGTACTCATATGTTTATTATGGAAAAGGTGCTACTACCATGAGTTAATGAGATCGCTCATGATATTAAGTACACTGCATTTGGTTGTGTTTGCATGATCAGGTCCATATATGTAGCCTCTCCACCATTGTCACCAAGACAAAATTTAAGATTTTTTGTTTTACAGTATGTTCCTCTCCTTTTTTTAAACCACTGAACAACAGATTTTTATTATAGGATATCTTGGTGCATAACCATTATGTGAGGAGTATAAACAACTTAACTCAGGCATAGGTTCAACTTACTATTATTACTGGCTACAACAGGATGGTATAAATATAGGAATAGGATCATAGGAAAGTAGGGCTGGAAGGGACCCCACAAGGTCCATTCTCCTATTCAAGGCAGGATTGTCCCCGAGTACAATTCACTCTTGCAGATGGGAAATATAAGGGTACACATCCTCCAGTAACCTGACATGGGGAGCAGGTTTCAAGTCCCTATTACAGGCCACACTGGGCCCTTTTCTTGGAATAAAAACCACAGGAAGTGTGTATGCATGCATAGTAGTGTTTTGGAAGGCAGGGAGGCAGAATTCTGAGTTTCCTTACACAGTTCCTTCCAGCAATCTTCCACGGGTTAGAGCATGCTCTGACCACCTGTGGAACTATTATGGGCCTGGCTCTCAAGCCATGCAGTTATTCTGATACCTGTGTAGATTTCCAGTATTTGCTGGAGATAGAAAAATGACTATTAACTCATACATCTTTCCATTGCTCCATGGCAGAATGGAGCTGTGCAGTGTACATGGGTACTTGGGATATTCATAAAAAAGGATCCCCAATATGGAAGGCAGAGGGATGGGACTATGTATACACAATCAAGCTATATTAATTTACTGCAGAATCACCACACTTTGTTGGGGGAATCCTAGCAATCTCCTTTGTATGCATTGGCCCATCTCTGTCCAAGTGAAAATAATTAAAGAGCAACATGACAAGCATATGCAAGTAGTTGGGAGGTTTTAATCCCTATGGAAAGAAAGAAAATGATGAGTAAAGCATGAGAGGCAGCTAGGAACAATGAGATGAAATTAAGGAAAGGAATATTTATTAAAAAAAACATCAATAAATTTCTCTCAGAGGGGTTATGAATCAATGAGAGTGTCTACACATCATCCTATAGCAACGTAACAATCACATGGGTCTACATGAGATTGTCAGCTATGTTGCCATAGTGGCACACTCCCCCGATATGGAGTGCCGCTAGAGTGACATAGCAGCAAAATGTACCCATGCATGGCACAGTAATCACCCATATAGCACCGTACTTTAGTACTTCTAAAAGACAGCAGTACCTTTCAGAAGTACTAAAGCACAGTGCCATAGCAACGCTGCCGTATGGCGACGTGTAGATGCGCCTAATTTGTAGTAAAAGTTATGGTGGTCCCACTGCTTTAAGCATTTAATGAAGGCAGGACAAAGTTTTATTTAAAATACTGCAAAGAACTCCCATGCATTTGCAGGGGGATGGACTAATGCTCCCTGATAAAATCTGTTGTTTTTATGAGGTATTTACAAATATGATGCAGCATGAGGAATGTGGGGTGTGATCATGGATAGTGAAATAAATTAATAATAGACTAAAAATGTACTCACTCTGTCAAAGAAAAAGCATCGTCTATCAGTTGTAACCTGTTAACAACAGGAAAAACCTGCAAAAGTATCCACAAAATGTTAGCAATTCCACTATGAGAAAAAATAGACTTAAATTAGGTTACAACAACCTGGCCCTGTAGTCCTTTCCCAAACCAAACTCTTATAGACTTCAGTAAAAGTTTTACTGACTTGATATATAAAGATTTGGTTTTATTTTGAGTTGAAATAATTTACTCCTATATGTGCTTTTAAGATAATTTTTCTTAGGTGTAGACTCAAGAAAATGCTACACGTAGCATATATTTATAACAGTTAACTGACTGCTAAGCTTGAAAACCTTAAGTTTATAAAACTCTTAAAATAAAGAAAATCTACAGTAATTCCCTTACCCTGTTCCCGTTTTCATTGATTTGACATAGACTTTTTCTTCTTTTGGGACTCCAGTTTCAAATGAAGTCAGACTACTTCTCAATTACATGGCTGTATGTACTCATAGGCAGAACTTCATTTAGGAATTTGAAAAAAATCTAGAATGATCCTACATCAGGTTATATGGAGGAGAAAGAGCAGCAGATGAGTTGCATTATAACCAGAATATATAAACAGGCACCCAAGTTTCTTGGGCAAAAAAAGACTTAACATGAATTGAAAATACATCTATCTCCCCAGCATATACACATGATGCAGATCCTGCACTAAGCAAGCTGAGCAGGAATACAGTTTGCCCACCCTCATACTGTATGATTTTTTTTCCACCTATTTTTCATTCCTGTTGCTTTTTTGGGGAATAGAGTCTCAGCATTCACAGTCCAGAATGTATTTTGATGTAAAGATCATTGGGCAATATTGTGGATTAATCTTGCATAACCAAATTAGAAATAGTGGGCACGTCCACATGTGCAAATGCTATTTTAGAGTAAACTCACCATGGCAGGCACCTACATGTGCAGGGAAGTGGGAGCAGATTTGCTGCTCATGGCAGCAATCTGCTCTTAGCCCTGCGCTGACTCTGTGCAGCAGCCAGGGGGAGCTTACGGCAAGGGCTGGTAGCCCAGGGGCTGGCAGGGAGCACCACAGAGATAAGAATGTCCCACCCCCTGCTCCAAGGTCATGGAGCCCAGGCTGAGAGATAAGGATCTCCCCTTCCCCCCACTCCCCCGGTGGCTGGGAGATAGGAATTAGGGGTGTGGGAAACGGGTCCTATTCGATTCAGATTTGGATTCAGCCCAAATCGGGGACGGTGATTCAATTAATTGATTCTGATCACTGTCCTCGATTCAATTCAGCCAAATCCGAAGATTCGATGCTGATTTGGAGAATCAGCGATTCAGACATAGACACAACTTTAAATGTTTTTTCTGCATACCTCGAGGTACCAGGCATGGCTCGTGAACGCTGAGATGGTGGGGCAGATGGAGCGTCCCATAGGAGCATGGGCCCCTCCCCGCCACGTGCTTGGCAGTGAACCCAGAAGTGAAACAGAAATATTTCAAGTCCACTTCCAGGTCTGTTGGGGAGCACGCCAGGGCCACCCCCCATGCCCCTCCAGCCTGGCAATCGGCTGTGGAGAGACCCTGGGTGCCCCCCCCAGACCCAGGAGGCACCAGTCACTGAGCCAGGGGCACGGGGGTGGGGAGCTCCAGTGTGCTCTCCAGCAAACCCGGAAGTAGACCGAAAGTGCTTCTGGTCCATTTCCAGTCTGCTGCCAAGCACATTGAGGACCTCCCTGTGCTCCTGTGGGACACTCCATGTGCCCCAGCATCACAGCATTCATGATTCGCCTGCTACTTAGAGGTATGTAGAAAAAATATTTAAAGCTGTGTCTATGTCTGAATCTTTCCAAATTGATTCGGAGGGCTCTGATTTGATTAGGAGAGATAAAAGGGTCCTCTGATTCAATTCGGATTTGGAGATTCGGCCACTGAATCAGGCCAAATCTCCACTGAATCGAATCAGGGACTGAAGCTTTGCACAGTCCTAATAAGAATCTCCCAGCCTCAGCTCCGCAGTTCTGAAGCCAAGGCTGGAAGATAAGAATCTCCCAGACCCTGCTCCATAACTGAAGAATGGGGGCTGGGAGCTGTCCACTGCCAGGGCAGGGGAACTTGCAAGGACAGCTCTCGGGGCAGCTCTTGAGGGCAAGGAGCAATCTCCCACCCCTTGCTGCCCGAGTGACCAGGAGCACATTTGCTCCCGGTGGGCTGTCTACACATGCATACTGTGCAGTAATTACTCCCGAGTAAATATGCTACTTGTATTCACAGGTAGCAAATTTACTCAGGATTAGAGCAAATTACTGTTTAGTGGGTGCATCTACATGAGATGTTAGTTGCGCATAGCCTAATAACACTGTGCAATAAATAGCGTGCCGGGTAAAAACTGTGCTAATACACTGCTGCGCTGTAGTATTAGGCTGCCGACACGACTGCATGGCTTGTTCAAGTTCCCCCAGATTCCCCTATTGATCAATACCCACATGAGATTTAAAGCACATATTTATAACTATAGAACATCTACATTTATGCTGATGTACTCAGAATCTGCTTTATCAGGGAATCCACGTGGCTAGGGACAGAAATTAAACATAAACCAGTATAAGCGATCAGAAACCAGTTCAAATCTGCATCACAAGAGAAGTTCAGTGCAAGTAAACCACTTTCAAAATGGCCAAAGCCAGTTTAAGATAAGTCTGATACTACATCCATCCAGGTTTAACTATTTTAGGTTAAATTGGAACTTCTATCCCAGATCTCCTCCAGGTTCAAAATAACTCAGAGTGTCCCAGGATCCCAGGATGCTCTGCATCTCCCCCTCTCTTGCAGGGTGGATGGGCTAACTTTGGCGCATGCTGTCTGCTCCAGCTGAGCAGGGAGCCATGCTCTACTGCTCCCCTGCTTCTGGCCTGGGCCACTGCACCGGGGTAGCTGGTATGTGGTTGCATTTCTGGAATCAAAAATGAATGTCTGTTTACTTGCTTTTCAATTCAATCTACGCAGTTTAGACTAACCTGCAACGATTGAATCGATTCAGCCTCAGGCTTTTTGACTTTCTGTCCTTAATCAGAGCATTTGAAACAGAGCAGAATGTGATATGGAAAGGCAACAGCCTATCCAATGCTCCTACTCTGCCATACCTAGAGATTGCAATTTCTTTGGAATAGCTTCCATAAAGCCAAGAGAGCAATGGCACTATGAGGCATTCTGCACTTCCATTTCTTTGCTAGGATGAGCCATTGTTCATACCTTCTACAGCATTAGAGAGGTTGATTTGGATGTAATGAACTGTTTTAAGTCATTTAAAAAATTCTAAATTCTGTAATTAAAAGGGAAAAAAGTACTGACAGATTTAGCCATTTAAATGTTTCATAGATTTCATAGACATGTTCATAGACATGTTCTAGGATCAGGTCACATCACATACCATGCAACTCAAATGATATAGAAAGTAAAGGTGACATTTGCATCTTATTGCTGTACCTCTTTAATCCGAGCCCAAATTGTGCTGGGTTAGTTCCTTGACATAGGAAAGCATGAAACTAGTCTTAATTAAGTTATAACATCAGCCAATTGTTGGTCACTAGGTGATGAAATGGTAACCAGGGAATGGCAGAACATAAGCACAGTTGACAGGAACACAAGAGTTTCCCTCTGGTGAAAAATTTCAAAAGAAAACCAGATGAAAACTAGAAAATTATGGGGGAGGTACCCCCCTAAGTGTAAGGGACTTTTTGTTTCATTTTTGGAGAGAACTGAAACAGAATCTTTCATTTTGTTACCAGCTACCTAAATGCCTGGACAGCTGCCTACTATGGAGTGGCACTGGGGAGACAGGGAGACCTGGGCACAGCCTGGCCTCCTGGTTTCTATTGATCATCACTTGACAACCAGTGTGTTTCTGTGAAACCAGATTCTATCCCATCATCATCTTCCCCTAGGAAGTTCTAAGAGCAGCTAACCACCTGCAATGCCAACTATTCTTATAACACTTTGTGCTGATTCTGTGCTCCTGAAAGAACCTGATTTCTCTGGGAAGTCTCCTCTAGCCGATTATGACAGCTTTACAGATATAACCTGATCCTACAAAAATATTTTTTCAGCAACTTGAAGTAAAAAACTATTTGGGCTGCTCTCGTTCCAACTGCTTTCAAAAGGAACTTCGACAGCATTTTAATGGGTACTGGAATAGGTCCTTTGTATCGGATACATTAGATCAGTGGTGTCAAAGATGCACCCTATGGCCCAGATGACATGGCCCTGTACTCCTGATCCTGCTCACAGGGCAGGAAATTCAGAATCTGCAGTAATTATGGCTACTACTGATTATCCAGAAGCCAAATTTCCAGCCCCATGGGAAGCCCAATGGACTGGATGACATTTTTATGCTGAAAAAATATTTATATAGGACAAGGTTCTATTTCTGTTTGGTGGAGAGAGGAACAGCAACTGTCATGGTTCCCAAATCCACAGTAATTCATCCTGCCATTGCCAAATTTCTAGCCCTAAAGTCCAGATGATACGGTCCCATATTCTAGATCCAGCCTGTGGACTCTTTCCACACAACAGGATGAGTTTGACACCCCTGCACTAGATTATTCCAAACCTTGGTCAAAATAATAACTTAATTAACGCAATTAAAAACATATTGTAGAGACTTTAGAAGCTTAAAGAAAACTTTTTTAGTCTTACCTCTGGATTGTTTTCAAGCAATTTTCCTATCCTCTTCAAATATGATGAGTTATAATTAACTCTATAGTATCCAGATAAATTCATATTTAGTAGGATCCAGTCATGTTCTGAACTTGATATCTGCATTTCAGGAAACATTTCTGGAAGAGATATTTGAAAGTGGGAAGGCTGTATCTTTTTATCATATTACAAATCCAGGTATACGGTTGTAATCTGAGATGTACATGTTTATCACCATATAAGTAAAATGTGTTATTACTACACTATAAGAGGCAAATTCATGTTTGAAGAGACACTGTGCGACATCTACAGGTCGCCCTACGGCAACAGAGCAACACACTATTTCACCGTACAGCTATGTAGCAATCACGTGGGTCTACACATGATCACCAGCTATCCTAGTATAGGGCATTGCTACGGTGACATAGCAGCAAAATCTAACCATGCTCCACACACGTTGCAGTAACCCCCAACATTGTGCCATGCTTTAGTACTTCCAAAAGGAAGTACTAAAGCACTGTGCCATAGCAACATCACCGTAGGGCAACGTGTAGATGCGCCCAATGTAGAGAAGGCACAAAAAGCAGCCTACCGCACTCTCTATGCTCCATACAACACAGCAACTTTCTCTAGGGAATATCCCTAAGGCACTATCCATGTTTTCAGGAGGCTGGGCCATGGATATTCTGCAATCTTCTCTTACCTGGACCTAGACTAGGAAAGAGATGTATTTTTTCACTGATTTAGCTAATTCCAATTAGGCTTCTTCTAGCTATGGCTGGCCTTGAATACCTACCACAATTTTAAAAGGTGTTAAATTGCATCTACAAGCAGTTTCACATAAAGTTGGCCAACTGCTTTAGGAAGAAATCTTTTGACCTATTCTAGACAAAGCCATGGATTACCAATGCAAGTAGTTCCAGATCAAGTACTACACCACAGAAATATAGTGTTGAATCAGAGTCTTTAAGCAAGATTTGACTAGGCAGAACTAGAGGATTCAACACTGAGCTTCATAACTATTTGAGAAAGAGTAGTGTATTGAAAGTTTCAGGGGTAAAATTTTCAAAAGGACATGTGACTTTGACTACATGCACACTAGCAGCTTATGATAAAAGCAAGCTGGTATAACTAATTAGCAAGTGCTTTTAGTATAGGTGCAACACCACCACCAAAGTTGCACTTTTATAAATTCAGTTTGATTCTACATCTATACAGTGCTGATACTATAATCAAATTCAAATTACAGGATTTCCTCTTCATAGTTGGGTCAGTCAGGTCTCAGACCTCTTTGCACCTCTGATTAACAAAGTCATGCTAGTAGCAGGCTGTAGCATAGACACTGTCTTACAAATCTAAAAACAGGTTTATATAGCACAAGGTATCATCAGGAAGGGATACTTGATTTAATCTGAATGAGCTGACAGAAAAGGGTGGACATACACTTTATTAAGTACTGCAAAGTTGAGAAAAGCATTTGAAAACTTTACCATAGTCCATGAGTCTACTTTATAGATGGTCCAAAGTTTGGAGGGATATAAGGCACAATTCAGGCTGTTTTCTAGGACCTCAACTCCAAACTTTTTAATGACTGGGCTTTTAGAACTGCAACAACCTAATAAACCTTTTTTTTTTTTTTTTTAATTGAAGTAGCAGTAACTATTGGAGCTGAACAAATGACTTACTCTTGGCCAGAGCAAGCAAAAGAAAAAAGGGGGTGTTTCTGGAAAATCAAGAGAAATGCATTTGGAGTCAAATGAAACTTACATTCAAAACAAAGCATTTATTTTTTATTACAGCCATTTTGATTACTTTTTTAATAAAATCAAATGCAATTTGGAATAAAGGTCATTCATAACAGGATGTAGGTGCCATTCACAAAAATGTGGTGATGGTAGTAGCACAGATTGTTGTGTTGTGTTGTGCAGTGGTGTTATTATTGCCCAGTGACTCAGGCTGTTACCTATGTGCAAATCCCTTCATTACCAGATTTGGAGTAAGAACTGGAACCTGGGTGCTTCTCCATAGATTCATAGATGTTAGGGTCGGAAGGGACCTCAATAGATCATCGAGTCTGACCCCCTGCATAGGCAGGAAAGAGGGCTGGGTCTAGATGACCCCAGCTAGATGCTTATCTAACCTCCTCTTGAAGACCCCCAGGGTAGGGGAGAGCACCACCTCCCTTGGGTGCCCGTTCCAGACCTTGGCCACTCTAATTGTGAACTGTGAACCATCCCAGCTGTGTGTCCCAAACACCAAGCTACAGGATCACAGGAAAGTAGGGCTGTGAGGGACCCATCAAGGTCAACTAGTTCATTCCCCCTGCTCAAGGCAAGGTCATTCTTGACTAAACCATCCCAGTCAAGTGTCTCTATAACCTGGTCTTGAAAATTTCCAGGAATGGAGATTCCACAATTTATCTCAGTAGCCTGTTCCAATGCTTGACCATGTTGTGGCTGATTTGCAAGTGACATTCCTGTTAATGCAAACCAGTTGCCACTGGCCTTTTTAAAAACAAAAGCATATGGATGGCTCATATTCAGCTTATGGTCTCCTGTAACCATGAGGTCTTTCTCTGCAGTACTGCAGTACTGACTCCAAGATGAACATGGGCCGACAATGCGAGGTCACAGTCGGCAGGGCTAACCGGACCTTATCGTGCATTCACAAGTGCATCTCAAGTAGGTCCAAGGAGGTGATCCTCCCCCTCTACGTGACACTGGTCAGGCCGCAGCTGGAGTACTGTGTCCAGTTCTGGGCACCCCATGTGGCAGAGCACCCAGCCATTTTGAGACATGGGCTGCCTATATAAACAGGGCAGTTTAGCTGCAGGAGGCCAGGCAGCAACATTGCCTGGCTGTAGGGCTACTGTAAATGACCCAGAGGTAAGGGGGTGCTACAAGGGGATGGTAAGGAGGCTCCTGGTCCTGGGCATGACCTGAAACTGCACCCTGCCAGGAGAGGGTGGTCTGGTGGGGTGCTCAGTGGTGCGGAAGCCACCAGGAAATGCCAGGCCAGTTATCACCCCAGTGAAAGGTGGGTCGGGGCACCTTAACCCCTAGCTCCCACCACTGGGTGGGTAACCCTGTTTGTGGAGGGGCCCAGAGGGTGGACCCTGAGAGAGTGATTGTGTACAGGGCGTGGTGCTGTGGTTGCCCCTGGGAGAAGGGAGTAGTGGCACGGTGAGGCCCGAGGATAGAGAGTGAGGGGCTAGAGACCCAGCCCGAAGGAGAGATGAGAAGTGGAGATGAAACTGCTTCTTCCCCTTGGTAAATAGCCCCAGGATTCAAGTGCTGAGGGGGCAGGGGTGTATGATTTGCTGTCTAGATCAGGGCCGGCACTGGGGTCATGTATGGATTCCTCCACAGCTCTCTTCTTTGTAACTGAAATAGGTCCTGGGAAGGTCTCTATGGCCTGGGGTTGTCAATGTTGATGCTCAGTTTGGGAAAAACTGATGCTCCTTACAGGGGCCTGTTGCCACATACAGGTGGGCAAGTCTGACTGTTCAGCTTTGCGTGGAAAAGTCAGAATTGAATGAAACCTCCATCTTCATTAGAAGTACAAATGGGTGCTCAGTGTGACCCCAATGTGTAAGTGCTTGTTGGCCGGGAGGAACCAACTTATATTCAGCTCATTTCAATGTGTTTTGTTAATGCTGCCTGAAATACCTGCCCTTCCCCTGCTGCTTCCCTCCCAGATGGCCCAGGCCCCTCCAGCCCTTTGTCCTTCCTCTCACTCCCCTCCCCTGCACCTACGTGGATGAGAGTCTGAGAGAGGGAGCCAGCGCCTCCTACGTATGTATCAAAGAATGATACCGTGTCCACTGATATTTGGCTTTTTTGTTCTGATGATAAAATGCAAGCCAAAATATCACAGATTTCTTTAAATCCCAATTGAAAATCCTGAAGTAGAAGGTCCACCTGGGTAACCTGTTCCAGCACTTAACTAACCTTCTAGCGAGAAACTTTCGCAAGGGAAGTGGTGCTGGCTCCTACCCTGGGGGTCTTTAAGAAGCGGCTTGATGCCTACCTGGCTGGGGTCATTTGAGCCCAGTTTTCCTCCTGCCCAGGCAGGGGGTCAGACCTGAAGATCTGCAAGGTCCCTTCCGACCCTACTTCTATGATTCTATGAACCTGCTTTCATTCAGTAAGCTTACACAGTGAAGGAAGGGTAAGAAAGAGAGTGACCAGGTAAGCTCTCCAACTAACTCCCCACTCAAACTCCTACTCACACCCCACTGTTAGCTGGCTTGTTGGCTGGTCCAGTGATTAAATCAATCTCACCCTCATCCAGCTGAACATATTTTATAGGCCAGTGGTAATGTAGTTATCTGACACGTAGTAGCCAGAAAATCCTGTTCCAGCAGTTCATGAAGAATAGGCATCTTAACAAAGTAAAGGAGAGGGAGACCACCACCACTATTTTGTGAATGGCAACTAAAGAATCATATCCAAATCTCTCACGGATGTCTCCACTTAGACATTGGAATTATTAAAATCTGGAGGGCAAGGGCACCTCCCCAGTTGACAAGGGTAGGTGCCTAGGATCTCTTCACAGTCAAGGAAGAGTTAGTTACTTTCAAATTGTGCACCTAATATGCTGAGCAGGGAGGTACCTAGGACTAGCCAACAGGAACTGCTAGGCACAGAGGGCGTCTATACACATGCACGGAGGCTGCTCCAATATGCTGCAATTACAGTGTGTCAGAGCCAACTCGATTAATCAAGTCTGCTGGAGCTTGGTAATTACCATGCTCTAGCAGACTCCAGTGACAGTGACATATCAGTGTCCCTGTGCTAAAAAAAGGTGGCAGGGACACTTTAACTAAAGCTCATTCGACAAGTGCCCCTGCTGCTATTTTGCAGCATGAGGATTCTGATACACATGATGCTCTGTGTACTTTAATTGGAGTGGCTTTTGGAGCCACTCTAATTAAAGCAATCCCCTCCTCCCACTCCCAGAGCACATGTATAAACAACCAGAGATGGGAAAAGAATGCTGTGGAAATCTTACCTCATAATGTCCACTGAATTATAATAATTAAAGCAGTACCTTTAAACAATATATGTTGATAGACTTTAAAAAAAAAAAAAGAGAAAATGCATTTTTAAACCTAAAAGTTAGCTAATAATTAATGTAGACTTTTTGTACTGAAATGTTATTCTCTCTCATCTCATTCAAAATATATTTACTGATTATGTAAATGATTAAAAATATAAACTATTTATAAATATGTTCACAAAATTTGAGAGGTGACTGAAAGTTTTTTTTTTTTTTTTTTTTTTTTTTACTTACTGCTAGTTTCATCTAGCCACACTATTGGTTGTGAAGATCCATTTCTTACCCAAGTAATAGGAACAATCCATGTGTTACTTAATAAAACAGAAATTAGACAATATCATTATTTCTTTCACTTAAGAACACAAATTCTAAACTGATGTTTAATAAGATTGCCAATATTTTTTTAAATTGCAGCTATCTTTTGCCCCTGTTTGATGTTAGTACTCTTGCTGGGTCAACCCCCAGTCTCACACTAGACAAAGAGATTTAGAATTAATTTGGACTATACTCTTTGATGTGATTCTTAGATACCAGTTTCATTCTCTAAGGACTGCTTTCCTTCTGACTGTAATTTTATTCTCCAACCTTCTTTCCTTTCATGACTCTGCAACATATCCTTGATATCTTTAGATTCCTATTCAGAAACATTTTTGGTTAAAAAGTTCTGGGCAGGCAACCCCCCCCCCCCCAAATACTGACATGAACAGTTGGCCAGAAAATCTGGGGAAAATGTCAATTTGCTGCAGATGGATATGAAAGCTACTGAACCAGGGAGATATACAGGGAAAGGAAGACTCATGTAAATACACCCTCTAGATCTGCCTATATTGGTATGGGATAGGATTTCTTACATGGTATTTCCCACTCCTGGGTCTAGATGTTATGAGAATCAATGGCGATAGGATGGTGTAACATCTCTAAACCAGCCTAGAATAGCTGATTCCTGGTAGTCTCCTGCATGTTGGAAGCAAAGTTAACTTCCTGTCTCTCTTTGGAGTACTGTTATGGCTGCTTGTGGATTTTGCCGCTGGTCATCTACAAGCTACTAAGAGTCATCTCAATCAGCATCGAAGTGGACACCAAGCACTATCCACTGACTTAAAAAAGGAAATGCTTAGTAATCAGTATTTTTGAAAAACAGTTACTTATTTAAGAGTCCAAACGAGGAGCTTCACTTTAGTCATTCCTGGTGGAAAACCTTGGTCTTTCATAATCTTGCACTGTTGCTATCCAGGAAGAAGTCAAGAAGTCACAGGTTTGCCCTAGCCTTATGTTGACTGGTGCAAGAATATATCAAGACTTGAACTCACTATTTTGGTCCCACAACAATTTGCCTTAACTGCTCTGCTCTGTATTCCACCCAGGAGGAAGTACTGTATTCACCCAAACACACAAGGACCCTGTATGTAAGATGACCCCCAAAAAATCAGATTCTACACACAGAAAATGTATACATTTATTATAATTTTATATGCATGGAATCTAATTATTAGAGGATCATCCTAAATTCACACCCCCACACAATACTGCAGGTGAGGGGGGAAGAGGTGATGAGGGGGAAGTAATGGGGCAGGTGGTGGGGGACAGACAGGGGAGAGGTAGTAGGGGGACACATAGGGCAGATGGGGAGGCAGTAATGGAGCAAGCAGTAGAAGGCAGTGGGGTAGGGTTGTAGGTGGCAGGCAGAGAGAGGAAGGGAGCTTGCTCCTTGCTGCCACCCCCCCAACCTTTACCCTTCCATTATGCCTGTCTCCCTCCCACTCTGCAGCCTCAGGCTGCCCCGATTCCCCATTTCCCTCTCCTCCCTGTTCCATGCTGCTTCTGTTCCCCGCAGCCTCAGGTGCCCACCCCCCTTCCACAGAAGCTGCGCACCCTCCCCCACTTCTTTATGCTCAATTGTAAGGTGAGAGGCTTTTTCATTTCACCACATATTAAATGGGGTAGGCAGGGAACCTTGTCTTCTAATCAAGTAAATACTCTAATCACTTGGAAAAGTGAATAGCTGAAATACTAAGTTGAATTCATGGCTCAGACTGGCTTCTGGCAAAAAAGCAAACAGATTTTCAAAGAATCATGTACTAATTAAACATTTCTTTATAATAAAAGTAAATGTAGAAATAAATGCTAAAAATATAAATTTCACTTGCTTGTAACTAGTAGTATTGTCCTTTTTCCTTATATTATGAAATTGTTCCTGACTGATGGTGCCAGTTGATGGATCAAATGTTAAAACTGGAAAGCCATCTTGGCATGTCCATGGGTCCATTATATTTTTTACTGATGCGGGCAACTGAACTTCATCCTGTGCATCTATAACCTTCAAAAAAAATTCTTAATTAGAAATATATATGATTTATTTACATTATTCCAGCAGCACTTTAGTAACGAATCAATGTAACAAAAAGAAAAAGAGCAGTATTGTCATTAAAATAGGAAGGATCCAATCCCTTAAGGGAAATTTAAAAAACTGAGACACCGTTTCTAATTTTTCTAACTTGATTTTTAGCTTATCTTTTTTATTTAAAGATATCCATACCCTTGAGTGGTTAATAACTTATTTATTTGTATAGGAAACTGTTTATTTAATTCACATAAAAGATTTAAAATACAAGATTACCACTATACTAACTAATTAATTAAATACCATTACACCTGAAAATTGGTTCTGGGCCAGATTTCTGTCGCTGTGACTCACCATAGCCTCCACTGATTTCAATGCTGCTACAACAATTGCACCGTCTGAGAAACTGGCTTTCTGCTCTGACTCGTATTATGATGAAATTTTCATTTTACAGTAACTTTGGCAAGGACATTATTATTGAAAAAATCTCCTATTAGTATTTCCTTTCTTAGAGTCAGGGTTTATTCAGTCTTCAGCATATATTTAAAGGGCAATAAAATGAGAGTGGACAAGATCCGTACACATATATTTGGAAGATCCAGATAGGAATGTCATCCACATTTGTGCTGGACCTTTAAACAGATTGTTAATTCACGTTTATATATAGTTGATCTTTCTTTTTTTAATCTTGTTGGTTCTGCTTTTACTTATACTCTACTAATGACCATGTTTATGCTTGATATAAAATGCTATATAGAACCCAAATTCTGGAAGTGTGCTTACTACTGCCCAAGACAGGGATATACAGTGGGCACATCTACACATGCAAAAGCTGTGAGGTGGTTTTATTCTAGAGTAAACCCACCCTGGGCAGGTGTCTACATGCGTGGAGATTCAGGAGCAGATTTGCTGCTCCTGGCAGCAGTCTGCTCTTGCCCCCTCTGGCCCTGCACCAGCCCCCTGCAGCGGCCAGGGGGAGCTCTAGGTTCTCTCTGGGTGCTAGCCCAGGGGCTGGCAGGGAGCTCCTTGCCTTCAGGAACTGCCTGCTGCTGGGGTGGGCTCCTCCCCAAGAGCCCGGGCAAGGACAATGGCCCCCTGCCCCAGCACCAGGGAGTTCTCAGCCCGGGATCCTCCACTAGTGGATTGGGGCAGGGGGCTGGAACCTGCCCCTCCCCTGCAGGTCTTTCCAAGCCCCATGCCTCGATCACCAGTTTGGGACATGGGGCTGGGGCCTGCCCCTGACTGGGACAGTTCCCACCCAGACCTGGGCTGTGCAGGGAAGTGTGTATGTGCAGCCCAGAGCTGGCTGAGGACTGCCCAAAACTGTCCAGGTCAGGGTCAGGTCCCAGCCAGTTCCAGCCCAGGCAGAAAACTCTCCCCATGCAGGGATCTTGTTCCCAGCCTGTCCTCCGCAATCTCCTGGGTAGGGGGACAGTGTACCTGCCTGGGCTCCAGTCACAGAGCCCACCCTGGTAGCAAGCAGTTCCCAGGGCCAGGGAGCAATCTCCTGCCCCCTGCTGCCCACCTGACTGGGAGCAAATTTGCTCCTGGCCAGCCACGTACACATGCTGTACTGCACAGTAATTACTCAGCAGTTAATTTGCTACTTGCATTTACAGGTAGCAAATTAACTGCCAAATAAATAAAATTACTGCACAGTAAGGGTTGGCATGTGTAGACAGTGATGCTTACTATGCAGTAATTAGCTCTACTGCACAGTGAAACATCTCGTGTAGATGTGCCCAGAGAAAAGCAGAATCAAAGTGAACTATAGTTAGCCTGACTTCTAGACTGCTAAAAACCTGCAGTATCCATCTTTAAAGACCATCTTTAAAACATTATTATAAAACAAATCTATATCTGCTCTGAAGAACCCCATGCTCAAGCCTTTGGCAAAATTTATTCACAGCAAGAATCACCTATGCAGGTTTTTCCACCCAGTAGGATGGGGCAGTTCCCTGTGACTACATGAAAATATGGACCACCTGTCTTCTTTCTGACCCAACAGTTATTTCTCTCACCCTTACATCACCTGTAGTCTCCAAAGGATTGTGTGTGGAGCAAGAATAAAGGTAGACATTCTACTTCAAGTTCCCAGTTGGTTTATGTGCAAAGTTTGGCAGCCCAAACAATGAAGTAAAAATACTGAGAAGATGTTATAAGTACCATTTGAATATGGGTCCACAGATCATCTTGGTTAGCACTTGAAAAGGAAAATGCCTTCAGGTAAGACTGAAATGAAAAACATAATCTTGAGTGCTCATTCAAGTTAATGAAAAATGTCAGCAAAGCAAACCTTTATTCATGCTTGCCTTTATTTACAAAATGATAAACCCAGACAAAGTTTCTTTTTCTAAACTTACGTTAAGTGCTTTGAGAAAAAGTCTCTCAGTCAGAAAGCTAGAAAGCATCCAGATAATGGAAGCCCCCTAAGGCACAAAAAAGTACATGAAAATATTACATAAACGAACTCTGGACATTTAGTTACTGACATCGAAAACCTATTTTTTTCAAAAGTGATGCCGACTAGTTCTACTTTGAAAATTTAGCAAACACTGAAAATGCATTCATATTCATTTTCTTTTGCACTAATCCATGTACAGTAAAAGCTGCCTTAACCAGCACCTTATAAGCCAGCATGCTCTATTAACTGGCACGCCAGCTTAAAAGGTAAGAATTAAACCGGAAGTGCTGACCGTGGTTCTTCCAGTTTCGCTGAGCTCCCACGGTCCGAGGCAAAGCAGCCTGCGTGGGGCCCCCCTCACTGTCCCTCGGGGCCTGTGGGACCTGCGGGAGGGTTGGTGATGCGGTGGGAGGGGCAGCAACGCCCCAGATGCAGCGGGAGAGGTGGCGGCCCAAACAGGTAAAGACGCCTGTTCGGGCCTCTCAGTTAACTGGCATATTTTGTTATCCAGCACCCTGCATTCCCCATGGGTGCTGGATAACAAAGCTTTTGCTGTATATGTATATACTAAGAATAAAACTAAACCACAAAAATTAAACCTTAGATATAAAGATAACTAAACTATGGCAACCTCTGTGATTTTCAAATATACTTCTTACAATACTGTTACAGACTACCAGATAGATGTAAAGTATTTGGCTTTCTTTTCACCTTACTGTAAGTGACGATGTCAAATAGGGAATCTGGTAAAAATGTTCCTTTGACCTTTTCTTCTTTCTGTGACAATGATCGATCACTCATTGCATCTTCGACTCTTAAGACAGGTTGCAAGACACTCTCATAAAACATACGATCCTGAAAATTATGAAAAAAACAGAAATTTAGTTTTGAGTTGCAGAAAAAGGGCTTGAAGTAGTCCACGTCGATCACAGAATTAACATTCATAGCAATGGGAAAAATATTTATAAAAACAGAAACAGTTCCCCACCACTCCACAAATTTACAGTTGTTTCCCAAGTAAAAGGGAGAATGGACTCAAATCTCACAAGTCCTCCTCATGTGGAATTACCCTTTAAGGCAATGGAAGTTTGGCACAGGAAGGTTTTAGGTTTGAGTCTGTTGAAAGATAATTATGTTTTAAGCATTAATTGAAAAAAATGTAAAAACTGTTAAACATTCCAAGTCAACAAAATAAACTACAAAATATAAACATGGATTATGGATTTACATTTGAATTAAAATAATGTTTTAGTTCTCTTTCCTAGCAAGATTCAGCTTCTGGATTCCAAAAGCTAGCCAAAGGAATATAGGGAATACTGCTTTAAGTGCTTCCGATGCCACTGAATAACAAATATATAAAGTTAGTCCCAAGTGAGCCCACACACACAGCGTTAATGTTTTTTAACTATTCGCACCTAAATTTGATACCTGTATTTGCAGGTATCAGATTTAGGTGTGAATAGCCTAAATTCACTATTTTTAACTAACTTTAGTCCCAAGTCAGTGCACACACAGCATTAATGCGCTTTAACACCTGCATGTGTAGACACCTACCTAAACCCACTTAATGTGCATTAAACTAAAGTGCATTAAATTTAGGTGTGCTTAAATGCATAAGTAGACACGCCCATCGTAACTGTAATTTAAATGCACCAGGAGAGTAACCAATCCAGTACAAGGATGTCAGATCGCATACTTGGGGAAATGAAGAAATTTATGCTCATTTGCTTTGTTTGAAAATGCATTTTGTATTTTCACATCTACACACAAGTTCAGTTAATAATTTCAGTCAATAAAACAGATTTTATTTTGTTTGTTAAAACACTGCAAGTCACTTTAAGTGTACTTACCAAAGAGGTGGAGCCTGATTTATTTGAAGATTAGTCTCACCGTTGCAAACAATTATTTTTTTGAGCCAAATTTTCAATGTCATTAATTTTGCACCTCCATTTGAGCTGTATGTGAAAACCCTCTAGTTACAGGTACAGATTTTTAAAAGGGCAAACATCACCAACAAAAAGCAAGCAAAAACTTCATTTCAGTTTAAAAATTAATTCTCTATTTTCTCATGGTATTACATGCTGATTTATACAAAATAAAAATGTTGTTGACATTCAAAGAAGCCTGTTCACTAATCCCATGACCAAAAAAAATATAAATCTGATTTGATCCTCCTGACAGAATGCATTTGACATGCCTGAGTTAAGTTTCCAATTAATCACATTCTTAAGTACTTTGACGAATTAAACAGGAAAGGAGGTGAATGGTCTACTCCCCAACTAAATTAAAAGTTCACAGCAGTGCCAAGCATATAAACAGAATGGTCTAGATCACAGGTGACTAAGATATAGTCCATGGGCTAGATGGGGTCAATGGAGCCATGTCATTCAACCCACAGGTATCCCTATGGATCTGGAAATTTGGTGGTGAGGGAGCAGCAGCAGCATTCATTATCCGTGACAACACTGATCATCCATGGCCCACAGAACCAGCCCTTCAGGGCCAAATGAAGCTGGCACTACTGATCTCTAGGACAGCTGTAGGTTTTAATTTTTAATCCAGTCAACAAAATAATGAGCTTGACTACTGTGAAGAAAAATGGGAAATAAATAAAACACTCACCCCAGGGAATGAGTCCGAGAGGGAGAGAGAAATGAGAACAGGAGGAGAGAGATGCTTCTGGAGCAGCTGCTCCGTAAAGATACCACAACCCCGAGGGGGGAGGGGTGAGGCATGGAAGGAACGGGCATCAGAAGACATCACTGAGCAGAAAGCTCGGGAAGAGAGCAGGGATGAAAAGAAACCCTGAGGACCCAGCCCGAGCAGGGAGAAGATCTCAAGCAGATCTGGTTAAGCTAGAAATCACCAGTGAAAAAAGAAAAAAAAACCCACAAACCTTAAAAGGTAATACTTGAACAGCAAGAGGAAGAGCGCTGAAAAATATGGCTATCAGACACGTTACAGTGACAGCGGTTCTTGGGTTTTTCTGTTAATTGGATTTTGTTTTGAGCCATTTGGGCTCTATAGAAGATGGGTTATTAAAGAGACTGGGAGACGACTACTCCTTAACAAGACTGTGACATATTGTGAGTTCTCAGGAAGGAAGAACATGCCTAGAGATCAATAAATAAATAAAACACTGGGAGTTATAAATGGGACTGATTAAGAATGCTATGTTGGCATTATAGATGTTACGATTATATCCAAATTGAATTCTGTCTAAGGTAATATTAAGGTGTAATTGATGTGGAGAGAAGTAACAATAGCCTTACAAACAGCGAGTTGATTATGGATGTAAAAATAAATCTTGACAAATAAAGATAATTGTAACCTAAACAAAGTAAGACTGTGATTTCAAATGATGATGAGCCTTGGGTGCCAAGTAGAAGAGTTACAGTAAAAGGGGTAACCCAAGAGGATCCCCACATAAGTTGCCAGAGCCCTACAATTTGTGGTAGAAAACACATAACACCTCCTGACTAAAAACATCATACAATAATCAAGATGTGACAGGCGAGAGTTGGAATATACCACAAGTAGTCCAAGACTGAGCAAACTGAGAAAAGAAGGGCTAAAATAATATGGTAAGCTATTAGCGGTACCTCACAACTACATAGAATTCAAAGTGATAATTCTAGTTTGGGATCATAGAAACATAAACAAATCATTGGACATTTATTCTGAAACTGTGTCACTGTACCCCTCAGTAAACTATAACACTCTTGTAGTTGGTACGTTTAGTTCTATACAATATGCTAAGATTAAAACTTCTCTGTGAACTCTGTCATACATGCTTTATTTGACTTGTAAACCTTTCTCTGCATCTTATAAGTAGGAGCTCTACTTATCCAGCTGTACTGATTAGTTTTTTACTAATTTGAATGATTAATGTTTTATTTTTGGTTTGTTTAGTTGTTTTCATCTTTTAAATAATCATTTCCTACAAGCTTATTTTAATTTTGTCTGCATAATTTACCAATCTTCCTATAATTATGACAAAATGAATGTCAAAGCAAAGACCCACAACTGAGTTACTCAACTTCTAGCCAATCCTTTGGCCTAATTCTTCTCTTAATTAAAATGGTCAAAGGAAATGTGTAGATTCAATGCAAGAGCAAAGCAAAGTCCATTACCTTTGGTGTACACAAAACAGGAAAAAAATTACTGTGTAATTTCCTATGCTGTATTTGATGTTGAATGTGAAGTAACACTTTAAAAAGACAACAAAGCAGTTTGTTGATTATATGACTTTATTTTTCTAAGTGATGTTAATATGGCCATTTACTATTTAAAGAGAGCTTTAAAAACATTAAAGTCTAGCCCTTGATCTTAAGATTGTGTTTTCTTCTTCCCAGTTCCTAGACTATTAAAATCATTTAACTAACAACCTCAAGAACCACAGTCTAATTCTAAACTATGGTTGACTATTTTGTGCTGCTCCACTGATGCACAGAGACCCTGGGCCCAGTTGAACTGACCCCCCCCCCAGGATTTTCCTGGCTGTTATACACAAAAGTGATAAGTACTACAGGAATAAAAACAAAGACCCTTCTGGGGCGCACTTAAGTCCAAGTGTCTAGTTCTCTCTGCAGTGAAGTGAATCCTGGCTAACATAATGGCCCCTACTATAACCTGCAGCAAGGACTCTCCCTGGCAAAAAGTAGCCTTTTTCTGTGCCCATCTTAGACCGTAGCTGAAAATCTGGCTTTGTCTGTATTTAAAAAAAAGAGACAAGATTTACCTTTATCACAAACACTAATTTTCATACATAGATAAACTTACATTTGCCGCTGTTTCAAAAGGAGAGAAAGCTGCTGATTCTGTTACGTTCTAACACTTACATGTGGACAAGGTGGAAACAATATAAATGTGACAAAACAGCTCCAACTTTATCCCTAGATGAAGCAGCATTAACCTTGGAGCTGCTTTGCTTCATCTGTATAGGTAGTCCCAGCTAGTGCACACAACTGCTAGAACATAACATTGTATTCAGTACCCCAGATAAGGACCACACTGCAGTTCACGAGGGGAAAGCATTAACTTGCAACCTGTATAGCCTCAAAGCAGGAGTGGAAGGACATTTCTGGACTGATGGGGAAAAATTAGGAGTTTGCTCTTTCAAGGCTCTTCACTGGGAAGGGGGCCAGAAGGCAGTGGAAAGGCACCACCCAAGAAGCTGATGCACAATTCAGTGAGGCTTGGGTAATCCACAGGTTCCTAAATCCTGGGAAGGGGAAGTTATAAATAGGCGTGCACCGATAGAGATTTTTTTGGCTGATACCAATGACCAATTTTTAATGAACCATATCGACCAATACCGATCCAATTGATGATATGTGGCCCGGCAGCATGGAGAGCAGCATCCAGCTTCTAAGTCTGTTGTGGGGGAAGGGATGAGAGGAGAGAGAGGAGGCTTGGGTGGGGGGCAGATCAAGGGAGGGAGTGGGACTGGGGCAGGCGCTGCACAGCCAGGGCAGGATGGGGCACAGGGCACAGCCACAGGTGGGGGTGCGGGGCAGGCAGCTCCTACTGGTGCATGCACCCCAGGAGGGCATGGGAGGTATGTGCCTCCTGGATCTGTGAACAGGGCGATGACAGCCTGCCAGGCTCTTCCTGGTTGGGGGACTGGGCTGTGCTTGGGGCAGGCGGTGGCAGGGCTGGGAGGGGGCTACAGGATGGGCTATGGTGAATTTTGGGGTGGTTGTAGCCTCACCATAAACCCCCCCCCCCCCCCACCACCACCCCACCCCC